TCTTCTTCTTCTTCTTCTTCTTCTTCTTCTTCTTCTTCTTCTTCTTCTTCTTCTTCTTCTTCTTCTTCTTCTTCTTCTTCTTCTTCTTCTTCTTCTTCTTCTTCTTCTTCTTCTTCTTCTTCTTCTTCTTCTTCTTCTTCTTCTTCTTCTTCTTCTTCTTCTTCTTCTTCTTCTTCTTCTTCTTCTTCTTCTTCTATTTCTTCTTCTTCTTCTTCTTCAGAGCTGAAGAAGCTTCTTGGACGAGAAGCAAAACGTCTTCAAGGACAAACCAGGAAATCCAGTTGCCTCCTGAAAAAGCATCTTGGGGATCCTGGAGTAAAGGCAATGGAGGCCACCTTGATGAAGACGGAAGCCGAAGGAGAAGGCCAGCCCATGAACCCAGAAAGAAAGAAGTCTTTGAATGGACTCACCAAAGTACAAGCCAAAAACGATGCCCGCTCCGAGAAAAGCACCGATGGTCTGGGCGAGGGCGTAAATCGGAAGCTTGATCCAAGGTTCCCGGGCCATGAAGCACATCGCAAAGGTGACTGCAGGATTCAAGTGACCACCTGTATAAAAAATATCCCATGGTTAGACAAATGTCAAAAGTAAAGTGAAGTAAAGTATGAGTAGCCCTCAACTTCCAATCATTTGTTTAGTGACCGTTCAAAGTTACAACCGGACTAAAAAAAGTGACGTATGACCATTTTTCACATTTACAACCGTTGCAGCCTTCCCCCAGGGTCACATGATCCAAATTGGGGTGCTTGGCAACCAGTTGTCTATGGAGATTTTCTATCATCCAGGTCATGGTTGACCCAAAGGTGCTTTTTTCAAGAGTCAACTGGACTTTCTTGTTTTTCTTTGAAGACGTTTCGCTTCTCATCCAAGAAGCTTCTTCAGCTCTGACTGGATGGTGGAGAATGGAAGGATTTATACTCCTTGCAGACAGCTGGTCATTTGCCTTCTTTTAGAGAGTCGTTGAGGCCACATGGAGGTTTATCTGTGTCCTCAGGGTCACCTGAGTGGTGCAAATAGATGTTCCAACCCTTTCAGCAGTTCCAAGAAGGCTCCACACCCATTTGCACCACTCAGGTGACCCTGAGGACAATTAACAGTGAGGACAATTAATCAGTGGAACCTTGCGCCTCCAGAAGTTGTGGCTGCTCCATCCCTGGACAATTAGAACAATTAACCAGTGGAACAACCTGCCTCCAGAAGCGGTGAATGCTCCAACACTGGAAGTTTTTAAGAAAAGACTGGACAGCCATTTGTCTGAAATGGTATAGGGTTTCCTGCCTGAGCAGGGGGATGGACTAGATGACCTCCAAGGTCCCTTCCAACTTTATTATTTTTATTATTATTATACCTGCAAGATCCCTTCAAGCTCTATTCTGATTGAGTCACTAAGAGTGAGTTGGGTGGCCATATAGCTTTTCATGAATGAATGAATGAATGAATAAATGAATGAATGAACGAATGGAGTCCTCAACTTGCAACCATTCATTTAGTCAGCATTTGAAGTTACAATGGCATTAAAAAAATTCATGACCCTTTTTTTCCAACGTACAACGGTTGCACTGTTCCCGTGGTCACCTGGTCAAAATTTGGGCGCTTGGCACCTGGCAAGTATTTATGGCTCCTTTAGGCAACCCGACAAGAATTTGTTTAAGCAAAATCATTAGTCGCAGAGGTGTGGCCCCTTCCTATGTTTGCCCTGTCTCTTGATTAATTTTGTTGTAATTAGGGCTGCGGCTGTCTCATTAAGACCTCGTTCCGCCCTTCTTTTTGAGCAGGTTCAACACCAGGAACCTCCAAGGAATTTTCCACGGCTCTGCATGTGTTCATTATCTGCAGGGAGGACATTCTCCGGGGAGGGGGGCACCTGGGAAAGCTTGCATGACGACACAATCACAGCAAAGTTGCAATGGGTGTTTTAGGTAGGTAGTCCTCGACTTACAACTGTCGCTTAGCAACCAGTCAAAATCCCCCCCAAAGGTACTTATAACAGCCATTCCCTCCCCCCCTTCCCCACGGTCTTGTGAATGCATTTCGGGCACTGGGCAAGTGGCCCATATTTACAAATAGTCTTCAACTTAACCGTTTAGTGACCGTTCCAAGTTGCAATGGCATTGAAAAAGTGAGGTATGACCGTTTTTCACCCTTATGACCGTTGTAGCAGCCCTGAGGTCACGTGATCAAAATTTGGATGCTTAGCAACGGACTCCTATTTATGACGGTCACCGTATCCCGGGGTCACGTGATCCCCTTTTGCGACCTTCTGAAAAGCAAAGTCAACAAGGAAGCCAAATTCACTGAACGACCGTGCAGTGATTCGTTTAGCAACCGTTGCAAGGGAAGTCATAAAATAGAGCAAAACTCACTTAACAGCTGCCGTGCTTAGCAAGAGAAAACTTGGGTTCGTAAGTCCAAGGCTACCTGTACACCTGTATGTAGCATCCCCCAGTCACCCCAACACAACGTTACGACATTTTTGCAGGAAAAACAGCTTTGAATTCCAATTTTGGGCAAAAATGCCCCTTTAGCAAACAACGGATTTGCTTCATGGCTGTGGAGTTCGCTGAACAACCGCAATCTGCTTTTATGGCGGCCGTGCTTGCTTAATGACTGGTGCCAATAAAGCTGGTAAAATCAACTCGATCACGTGGTGACCCGCTTTGCAATTGTCGTGGCTTACAACCGTAAGGGGCAGACTCCAGGAAAGACGTAATTTGAGGATTACTGAACCCGGGTCAGGCTCTGGGACACAAGGATGTAAGCACAAGCCTTTGCATCACTATGGCATGTGCGTTTTGGGGTCAGGCTGGTTTGCAGCGAGCGCTGCTGCTGCTTCCTGACCCCAAGATATGGTCCGATTCAGCCCTCCGAGCCCAGCAAAGAACAAAGGACTTCATTGGCCGACACCCTGAGCGGGTTAGTGAATGCGCCCATTGTCTGGATTCTCTCAAGCCTCCAGTTTGCAGACACGGCAGTTTTGCTGCCTGCTAAAAGAATCCATTTGTGTGAACCCTCCCCTTGCGAATCAGACTAATAATGGAGATCAGAAAGGCTAGGCCTGGACTAGCAGTTAATATATCGCTTATTTTTAATCGTTGCATTTTAAAAAGGGGGGGGGCATTTCTGCGTTGCCTGTGAAAGAAGAGGAAAGAAGGAAAGGGAAGAAGGAAGGAGGAAAAAGGAAAGGGAAGGGAAGGGAAGGAAGGGAAAGGAAAATAAAGGAAAGGAAAGGAAAGGAAAGGAAAGGAAAGGAAAGGAAAAGAAAGAAGGGAGGAAGGAGAAAAAAGGGAAGGAAAGGAAAGGAATTAAGGAAAGGAAAGAAGGAAGGAGGAAAAAGAAAAGGGAAGGAAAGGAAGGGAAAGGAAAGGAAAGGGAAGGAAAGGAAAGGAAAGGAAAGAAGGAAGGAAGGAAGAAAAAGGAAAGGAAAGGAAAGGAATTAAGGAAAGGAAAGGAAAGGAAAGAAGGGAGGAAGGAGAAAAAAGGGAAGGAAAGGAAAGGAATTAAGGAAAGGAAAGAAGGAAGGAGGAAAAAGAAAAGGGAAGGAAAGGAAGGGAAAGGAAAGGAAAGGGAAGGAAAGGAAAGGAAAGAAGGAAGGAAGGAAGAAAAAGGAAAGGAAGGGAAAGGAATTAAGGAAAGGAAAGGAATTAAGGAAAGGAAAGGAAAGGAAAGGAAAGAAGGAAGGAAGGAGGAAAAAGGAAAGGAAAGGGAACTGTGTATTGCTGTGGATGTGAGCTGCCAGGTTTACGGTGCATAAGATGGGTGGCCATACATGTCTTTCAGATAAATAAAGTCCCCCTACCTGAGATTTGTCCAGCAATCAGAATTCCAAGCGTCACAGCGAACCCAAACGCCAGGTTGACCGTCAGGAAGCGGGCGTGAGTCCCACTGCTGAGCACCAGCTGACCCACTGAACCACAGCCGAACATCTGAAAAGAAGGAAGAAACTCGGTGAAGTCGAGTTTGAAAAACATCAGAAAAGGAGATAATTCATTGGAGTCCCATGGTCTTGGGAACGCATTTCGGGCGCTCGGCAAGCGGCCCGTATTTACATGCAGTCTTCGACTTACAACCGTTCGTTTAGTGACCGTCCCAAGTTACAACAGCACTGAAAAAAGGAGACTTGTGACCGTTTTTTCACACTTAAGACCATTACAACGTCCCCAGGTGATCAAACCTTCTTGACACTTGGCAACTGACTCGTATTTATGACGGTCGCAGTGTCCCGGGGTCACGTGATCCCCTTTTGCGACCTTCTGACGAGCAAAGTCAATAGGGAAGCCGGATTCACTTAACAACCGTGTTACTAAATTAATGACTGCAGTGATTCACTTAACAACGGTGGGAAGATTCAATGGGGCAAAATTCACTTAACCAAGGTCTCATTTAGCAACAGAAATGTTGGGCTCGGTCGCGGTCATACGTCAAGGACTCCCTGTGTAGCATTACGGAGAGTTTCCGTGTAACCAAGAAACCAGAAAATATTTTTTTCCCCATTTTATTTCAGGTTCTTGTGCAATCAGGTCTTGTTTGCTCTCAGATTAGTTCCTTCCTCCTTCCACTGACAAGGTGATTAATTTTCACTCCATAGCAGAGGATAAAAAGAAAAATCTGAATAACTGCTTGTCCTTGAGCTTTAAACAAAAAATGGACTTTGAATTGCGTTCTTTGCCATTTTATGCCAGACAACCCGATTATCTTTCAAATAAGGAGTTTCTTGAACTGGGGCGTGGACAGGATAAGATTTCCCCTGGACACCCTTCCATAGGTTTTGGCTTGGGTACAACTTGATTACAACAAGGCCTTTGGGCTTGACCAAAAACTGCCAAAAGAGTTGAGTTATTCAAAGCTCCTGTCATGTTCTGGGCTGTCAAATACAATGGCTGTAATCTGAGAAAGGTGAAAGAAGAATGGCATGCCAAACTGAGCAATAAATCAGTTGTGGGCCCAAATGTGAGCTCTGGAAGAGGGCTGAGGCTGAAATGGAACAGAAACTGAACAACAGAGTTGGAAGGGACCTTGGAGGTCTTCTAGTCCAACCCCCTGCTCAAGCTGGAGACCCTATACCAGGGGTAGGCAACCTTGGCTCTTTTATGACTCATGGACGTCAACTCCCAGAATTCCTGAGCCAGCCATGCTGAGGGGAAAAGGAGAGGTTTCCATGTCTAGCCATCTGTTATATAGAATAACGGAATTCAGAATAACAGAATAACAGAGTTGGAAGGGACCTTGGAGGTCTTCTAGTCCAACCCCCTGCTCAAGCAGGAGACCCTATACCAGGGGTAGGCAACCTTGGCTCTTTTATGACTCATGGACTTCAACTCCCAGAATTCCTGAGCCAGCCATGCTGAGGGGAAAGGGAGAGGTTTCCAAGCTGAGCCATGCTGGCTCAGGAATTCTGGGAGTTGAAGATCACGAGTCATAAAAGTGCCAAGGTGGTGGCCTATCCCTGCCCTATACCATTTCAGACAGTTAAAAGTTATACTAAATCCATTTACACATTTTGCAGCTCCCTGGAAAAGGCTAGGAAAGAATGTCATTTCTGCACTCCTCAATGGATCGTGGCTTTTTGATTCCATTTTCCTTGTGCCTCAGGATACAAACTTTCACAGTACCCATTATCCACCGCCTGAGACAATCATTTTTATTTATGTGACTTCCTCTCAACCCACCTACTCCAGAGACCTCAATTTTGTGAGTGTACCACACTGGTTCAATATCTCCAAGATAGTGTTGTGCTGTGGGACATTATTAGTGCAGACAACACACGTGTGACTTTTCACATAGAGCTGCCCTGTTTGAAGACCGACAAAGTCACTGCAATGGACACAACGATCTAGTGACTCTCAGCTTCAGCAACTTTATGATGGGCAGACTTCAACTCCCAGAATTCTCCAGCCAGCATGCTGGTTTCACCATGTCCTGCAAACACCCCTTATTCCCAACTGTTTTGCTTCTTAACTTCATTAAGTAGTCCACAGCCCTGGAGGTCTAGTACAGAAGTTCTCATCAGCTCAACCTTCCTTGGTTTCTTAAAGTGAGCTAGCTATGGAGTTTTAGTTGCAGGTTCCCAAAGCTATCCATCAATCCTTCACCTCAAGAAGACATCTAGTTTAACCTTCTAACTTTCCACCTCAAGGGGCTAACCCTCAGCATAATAGAATAGAATAGAATAGAATAGAATAGAATAGAATAGAATAGAATAGGGAATGGAATAGGGAATGGAATAGGGAATGGGAATGGGAATGGGAATGGAATGGGATGGAATGGAATGGAAGAGAAGAGAAGAGAAGAGAAGAGAAGAGAAGAGAAGAGAAGAGAAGAGAAGAGAAGAGAAGAGAAGAGAAGAGAAGAGAAGAGAAGAGAAGAGAGCTGGAAGGGACCTTGGAGGTCTTCTAGTCCAGCCTCCTGCTCAAGCAGGAGAACCTACATCATCTCAGACAGGTGACTGTCTAGTCTCTTCTTAAAAACCTCCAGTGATGAAGCACCCACAATTTCTGGTGGCAAGCTGTTCCACTGGTTGATTGTCCTCACTGTCAGGAAGTTTCTCCTTAATTCCAGGTTGTTTCTCTCCTTGATCAGTTCCCAACCATTGTTTCTCGTCCCTCCCTCTGGTGCCCTGGTGAACAACCTGCCCCCCTCTGCCTTGTGGCAGCCCCTCAGATACTGGAGCACTGCTCTCATGTCTCCCCTATTTCTTCTTTTTCTTTAGACTAGCCAAACCCAAGTCCCGCACCCGTTCTTCGTATGTTTACAATATATGTAAAACAGTCCTAGAAAAGGGAGGCTCAGAGTCAAGCTCCCAGCAGATACCTCCAAAGCTTTAGCTCAACCTTGGCAACTTTGTGGGCTTTAGCTCCCAGTATTCCCATTACTGGCTTGGGAAATTTGGAACTTGAAGTCCACAGGTCTTAAAGTTGCCACGGTTGGACACCTGCTTTAGCCCAACCCAATCCAGATTCTCCAGCATGTTCTCCACCCATCAAGGCTTGCCGCTCTCGTTCTATAGGCACCAGAACGAAGGAAAATCAAGATCAGAGTTTGCTAAGCCGAGTGACAAAGCCAACCTGGGTCCCACCCTCGTCCTGATCCAGATTGAACTCATCCTGTTGACGCCACCCTTCGGGGAAAGAAAAAAGAAAAAAAAAGAATAATGAGACAAGGAAAGAGGGGAGCATGTATCCACACGAACCCTGTGAGCGTTGATTTGCTTGAAACACCACCCCTTAAATCACCTTCTTTCCATCTCCCTTTCCAACAGCTGCCCCACCTTGCCTGGAGGGGGGGGTTGGTGCAGTGGGGAACACAAGGCAAAACACCTGCACAATTCAGCTTGTGTTCCCTGCCTTGGGGGTAGATCATAAATGCCGAAGAAGCCCAATGGGTTCCTCCCAAAATTAATCTTCTTGTATTCCAGCAGTCCCAAAATTCATTAAAGCTGTTAACAGATTTCATCTGCTCGGTTCCAAGAGGTGCAGTGGGGAGGATTCCTTATTAAGTTTAGCATCAGGCGCTCCCCGAAAAAATTCTGCTTATTTTCAAGCTTTCAAGAGTGTCTTTTGTTCTGCCGGCGATGCGATAGGGATCTTCTTGTGTGCAGCTTTGTTAATTAAACTTGGCACTGGGGAAAACTTTCTAGAGACAAGGATCATAGTGCCAGGGTTGGGCAAGAAAGCTGGCGTTCACTAGGGCTTCGCAGTGTTATGTTTTCCAACACAACACCATGCATATAAGCTCATGAAAGAAACCTGCAGCTTGTCACAAATAAGCCTAATGAGGACTTGAAATCTTATTTTGCAATAATAATAATAATAATAATAATAATAATAATAATAATAATAATAATAATAATAATAATAATAATAATAATATGTGCAAACTTACAGGAACGTAAATCCTAATTTTCTCAACCACTTTAGCAGTTTTAAGATGCTTGGACTTTAACTCCCAGAATTCCCTAGCCAGCTAGCAAGCTAGGCTGGGGAATTAATAATAATAATAGCAACATAACACCCCAGACTTAACAATTGTCGATAAGAAAGACAAAAAAGTCTGGATAGTGGACGTGGCAGTGCCTGGAGACAGCAGAATAGACGAGAAAGAACTGGAGAAGATAACAAAATACAGAGACCTACAAATAGAAATAGAAAGACTGTGGCAAAAGCAAGCAAAGGTAGTACCAATAGTAATAGGCACCTTGNGACTCATGGACGTCAACTCCCAGAATTCCTGAGCCAGCCATGCTGAGGGGAAAAGGAGAGGTTTCCATGTCTAGCCATCTGTTATATAGAATAACGGAATTCAGAATAACAGAATAACAGAGTTGGAAGGGACCTTGGAGGTCTTCTAGTCCAACCCCCTGCTCAAGCAGGAGACCCTATACCAGGGGTAGGCAACCTTAGCTCTTTTATGACTCATGGACTTCAACTCCCAGAATTCCTGAGCCAGCCATGCTGAGGGGAAAGGGAGAGGTTTCCAAGCTGAGCCATGCTGGCTCAGGAATTCTGGGAGTTGAAGATCACGAGTCATAAAAGTGCCAAGGTGGTGGCCTATCCCTGCCCTATACCATTTCAGACAGTTAAAAGTTATACTAAATCCATTTACACATTTTGCAGCTCCCTGGAAAAGGCTAGGAAAGAATGTCATTTCTGCACTCCTCAATGGATCGTGGCTTTTTGATTCCATTTTCCTTGTGCCTCAGGATACAAATTTTCACAGTACCCATTATCCACCGCCTGAGACAATCATTTTTATTTATGTGACTTCCTCTCAACCCACCTACTCCAGAGACCTCAATTTTGTGAGTGTACCACACTGGTTCAATATCTCCAAGATAGTGTTGTGCTGTGGGACATTATTAGTGCAGACAACACACGTGTGACTTTTCACATAGAGCTGCCCTGTTTGAAGACCGACAAAGTCACTGCAA